GGCGGGAAGGAACGGGTGGCTGACGTTCGGGGCGAGGCTGAAGAGGCGGGTCATGGCGGGCGGGTTCCGGTGAGGACGTGCGGGCAAGTTCGCGGATGTGACGTTGAGCGGGATGGATCAACGGAGCGAGGGAGGAGCGTTTTCCGTGTCGAGGGCGGTGTGGGCGATCACTCATTAACCGGGGATATCATTCATCTATTCTGGCGGGGCGACGTAGTGTCGGGGAGGGCAGAGGTGGCAGACCGCGGCCGCTGGGCGCCGAGGGGAGAGGCGAGCTGCCCTGCCTAGCCGACTGCGAAAGGATAAGCCCCGGTACCACTACGGGGAGCCCGGTCGCCGGGAAGGGAATTGTTCGCGTGCAATTTCTCTTTCGGTTCTCCTCTCGCGCCTGCGAGGGGGAGTTTACAACTAGGAAGTAGTGTTGCTGCCGCGAATTGATTTTGTTCAACGCGATAAATTATCAGGTTTACTTTTCTGACGTGAAACCATGTGTAATGCAAGTCAAGAGAACACTAAAAACTCTCAACCGTCATTGCTCTTGTACAAGAAAAGCGACACATCCTCATTAATTATATGACGTGTTATATGTGAGTTATATATCTAGCTCCACTCTATGCTCTGCAACTAGGTGACATAAAAACCGAAAAAATGTGAAAGAATGTAGTTTGGCTGCAGGTAGATGACAGCAGGGAAGAGGGTGAAGTAAAACGGAAACCTATCCCAGATTAAAGATATTAGAAAACTAACTAGTACAAGTTTTCCATTATGTTGCACCACTAGATAATTTTCGATTGCTTGCATTTAAAATCAATAAATTAAAATAATTACATCAACATCCTGCTTGTACTCGTTTTCAATTTGCGCGCCAAATAAAACTTGGTTTGCACACTTTCATCTTTTTTCTCATGTGATAGCTTTTTTCTTTTTTTGGGGATGATTTTTGTTTGACGAAAACTAGTTTCCCCCTTTCTTTAACAAAAGGGAAATAAATCTTATATCAAATATGAAAACATTTTATTTTTTAAAACGTTAAAAAGCAGTCTTTCACTTAATGCATCAGATGTATTTCATTCCACACAATTCTTAAATGTTCGTTTTTCTCTCGGATTAAATAAATAACTTCATCCTTTTCCGCCTATACATCACTTCGAACACTTTGTTCGAAAAAATATACGTGCTCACCTAATGCCCGATAGCCGGCTATGGGAACCGGGATCAAACAATGTGAACGACCGTGGCGAAGGAAGTGGCACGAACAGAGGAAACCCATTCGCTTCTCATCTCCGGTTGAACGAGGGAGACACAGTGACGTATTCTTTTCGTCCGGCCGCAGCGCTTTTGGACGGCGCAGCAGCACGCGACGGGGCGCACTGCACAATCGATTCGCCCACGCAATCGAGTCGGCGGGGAGCGGTGTCTGACAAACGCTTCGTATCCTTTACTCCTAATCTAGATCCGTTCTTTCTCCGCACACATTTTCCTTTACCATGTGCAAACGCGTGTGTGATGACAAGACGAGCTTCGCAGACCGTGGCAGGTCTTAGGTTCGAGTGACAATAGTGCCAGGTTAACAGCTATGCATCTGGGTCGAATTCGATAAAGCATGGATGAAAATTCTCGATATTCAGACTTTTCATGAGTTTCGTAAAATTGCATAATTATTTTAAAACATTGGCAGACGTCTACAAAAAAATAGTATGTGATGTTTCATAACTTATCTTTGAAACAAAATTTAAATACCTGAATACTTTCCTTGTTGCAAAACACCACGCAATACTTCACTGTAGCTAGAAGCTAACAGCATTAGAATAATAAATAAAACTAACAGTATTACGCTCCGCCATCGTCTTCCCTATCTATTAACGCAGCTCCTACCTGGTAGTTCTCTTGCCGCAATCAGCCCCCCTCCCGCTGCCGTCTTCTCGCTAAGCGTTCCTTTCGCCCCGTCCATCCCAGCCGCCGGCTCGTCCTCTCCCTCTCGACCCCATCCCGGAACACACGGCAACGCCCAGAAACAATTAAGCACTGGTGGATTGGGAATTGAATTAAAGTGAAGCGCCTTCTTGTGCTACTGTGCCATCTAGTAAAGGTACAACAAAATAAGCAGCATAAAAATCTTCTCCAAGAAAAAAACGCGTAGATGTGGCAACTTTCATCGAGATCGGTCCTACGATGTAGACGATGTGCTCCGCGTGCCCAAGTTGTAACGTGACCATCACACGGGAGGGACACATTCGTATGCGCGAGGGTCTTATTCTGTGGCAACAAACAAAGGTAACATATTCGGTTGCGCCGGAGAACAGAATGGGGGAAAAATAAAACAAGTAGTGGTGCTACATTTCTAGGTAAATTGAAAAATTCAGTGTTCAGTTCACGCCATTTTTAAGCATCCCTTTTTCTATCTGTCGAAAACGTGTAAAAAAAATTGGTGGTTTTTGAGGAAAAAAGTTTAATTTTTAAAAAAATGACTATATTTTTGCGTTAAAATTCGTAAAAACTACTCATAAAAAAAGAACATGAACTAATTTAAAAATCAATTTTCAGCGAACTTATTTCATTAAGGAATAAAATCTCTAACTTCAATATTATAGTTGTAGGAAGACTCCCCCAAAAATTGCGCATTTGCAATTTTAAAAAAAAGTGATTTTACCCAACATGAGATCTGCACTAATTGCTTAACCGTTTTTTGCGGTATTTGAACACAAAGTTTGATCAAAGAAGTTTGTGCCATATTTGCGATCATTTTGAATATGTTTTAAGGATTTATGTAAATTATTCTCAAAAATCAAAATATCCGTTTGAAACTCCCAAATCATTGGGTTCATTCAGATGGATTGGTGAATATCAATATTGAAGAAAATCAGCTGAACGGTTTAGGCGCTAACGTTGACCGCAGTCAGACGGATAGACAGACGAGCAGACAGACTTTTGCCGTTAAGTTTTTCGGTAACAAGGATTCAAAAAACATGAATTCTAACTACACCACGTGTTAGATACTTTTGTCGTCACTAGGGTCCAGAAATAACAGTTTTTCTGCCGAAAATTCGCCGTTTTCCAGCACATGATTACACAACTTTCTCTTTTTACGAAGTACATTCGAAAAAACGAGGAAGTAAAAACATAAACATTTATAAAAGTATAGAAAAAATAATGGGATCATCGATCAGAAACTCGACTAATATTCCCTCAAATGCATCTGCAAAATCAAACGCGAAAAACGCAATACTTTCGTTCTTCGAAAGGTTAAAGCAAGTTGTAAGCTCACACTTCCGATCCGCAGCGAAACCCCACCCGACTGCAGTTACCAGTGAGCGCCCCCACCACGACGCGCGCGATATGTTGACCAGGCCAACAAGCGGCCTGGTCCCGCCGCATCCGGTCACCGCTTGCCCATGTCATGTGGAACAGGCCTCCACGCACTGCCACTCCGCGGGCGGGGGCACGGGGCGTCCGTTTGTTTTGCCCTCGCGACCCACCGCCATTAGCGTGTATCGGAATCCGATGGGTACGCTTCTAAACGCTTTCGCGAGCGCCCGCGATTGAATAAGTGTAGAGCCGTCCGCAAATGGAAGTTGAGGGATTGCCGCATTCAATATGCAGTCTGTCTATCCATCAGGGCGGAGGGCGTGTGGGTGGACGTGGGTCGTGATGTCACGGGGTATTTCTAGTTCGCTGTGGAACTGATGCCCCACTGCGCCAGTGAAGAGACGTTTTGAAAGATCGGGAGCGATGTCCATGAATCGCAGGTCGCACTGGCAGCGCAAGTAACGGTTCTCGGAAGGGTTATCGTCTTAAATATTATGCTTTGTGTAAGTGACACGCCAGAAATGTTCTGTCCCTCGTCTCTATTGTTACTATCTATATGACTAAGCTGTCGTTCATATGCGTATCTCGTGTAATTACATATTTAAATTAATCTATGAACGTCAGAGTTTCTTGGATGACTGTGACCAACGGGAACCTAGTGGTGCTAAAACAGCATGCACGCTCTCGCCCGTAATTTGTGCGCAGATTGTCTTCTCCCCCATATGTCACATACAGTTTTTACTGTTTTTTGAATAAATAAATCTAAATCTTTTTTCATGCACAATTACGCGAAAAGTACTCAAATTATCGAAAAATTGTACCTTATCTTATTTCAAAATCTATCTTTAAGGACCAGCATTAATTAAAAGTAAAAAAAACTATCTTCATAATTGTAGTTGTAGGTAGACGCCGAAGAAGTTTTGAATTTTGCAATTTTCGAAAACTCAGGGTTATCAAGGAACCCTGAGGGCGAGCTGCACCATTCTTTTGAACGTCCTTCAGACCATTCAACAACAAAATTTAATTAAAAACAATGGAGGCATTTTTTTGAAAATTTGTCTCAAGAACTTCATGTTAAGTCTCCCTAAAATTAAAATATCGGTTTCAAATTCAAGCGGCCGCAACATCAAAATCGATTTTCGTGGCCGAAATCTCGAAATCGATTTTCCGCAGTTTTACAAAACGTTCCCTATAAACGCAGTAATATATGTAGTATATGTACGTATATGGGAAAGTAAATAATTAAGGTCACTTTTCATTCACTGAGACACCTTCGCCAAGGACGCGGCGTCACCCGGACAGCCTAGTAAATGCTGACTCCGGTCGCGGAAGCCTTCGCTCTCAATAACCAATTCATTTAATTTACACAATAATTAGTATAAGAGGGTAACTGTCTCGTTTTTATTGCAAAAATACTCCAACATATTTCATCACACTCGCGAAAGAAAACTGGAAACGGAGCGATCGCGTAGGAGTGTTTATGCCGCTAAGAGCAAAGACAAATGACGTTGGTTACTTAGCGTAAATTTTGGCGCAAATATGAGTGGTTCTTAGTGAAGACGTTACCGCCATCTTGTGTCTCAATAGATAACTAGAAAACGCCCCGTGGAGCTGAAGCATGCCCGCGCAGCGCCGTTCTGTTGCAGCGGCCGCGCGATGGCGCCAGTCGAGATGGGGCGAGCGCGGGTACTCACTCTGCAGCTGCAGGTCGACGAGGCGCTGCAGCGTGGCGAGGGAGGCGGCGGCGGCGGCCGCGGCGGCGGCGGGGGGCCATGCGCTGGCGTCGCGCGCCCACCCGCCGCAAGCGTACGCGTAGAAGTCGCGGCACGGGTCGGCGCGCCAGTCCATGGACGCCTGCATGCGGCGCGCCGCCTCCCAGCACTGCTCCTCGCGGCACGTGAAGGCGTCCGCGTTGGCGCCCGCGCGTGAGCAGCCCTCGTCGTCCTGCGGGCACACCACCACGCCCACGCTTCACATCACTTTCTTCATATGTGCTCAAACCAAACGATCTCGCTTTGTAATACCTACATAAAGTAGATTATCCCTCACAGGAGGTGATCCTCAAGCTCTGGTACTTCCTTCTCTTTGCTCGTATTTCGCACAATAGGCGTTATGTTTTCAGGGTAATTTTAATTAAATAAATAAATATATAATACCACTCTCAAATTAAACTTTATTACGCACGAATTTAGTGTTTGAGGTTAGTTAATCAGCTTTAAAACATCGATGTTTAAAAACATTGATTACATTTTATTGATGTATTATTAACCTCCATCTGTTAATTTTGAACATTTATATTTGGCAGCATCGATGTTTTGTTACGATGTCGCATCTCTAGCCCTCAGCGCAGCGCGCACAAAAGCGCAAGAGCCTTGCACAACACCCAACATCTTAAGCGATGTGTTTGGCACCCAATAGCGCAGGCGACCAGATCGGTACGCAACGGAACAGGTTCCGTGCTGAGTACACATAATAGCACATGCGCTGTGCTCAGCATACCCAACAGAACAAGTGCCGTGCTCAAAACACAACGGCACTAGTGACGTTCTCAGCAAACCAATGAGAGCCAGTGATACCACCTTGACTATGCGAATGAAATATTAATAATAATTTTAATGATAATAATGATGATTAATAATAATAATACGACATAAATTACAGGTTTTAACGATATTTTATCGTTATTCACGTTTATTTTATTACATTCATAGAATTCATATAGTAGATCGAAAATTATTTAATTTTATGTTTTCGAAAGTCGGTCGAACTAAACATGGATGTTACCATGTGTCTTCCTCTGCTTTATGTTTGATTATTTTCTATTTTGTTCCCCATATCCCTGACCGCCATCTATGAAGCCCTCGAGAGAATTCTTAGCGCAGGGGCACGCACGCGGCGCTAATGACGCGGTCGATGCCCGCGCAGATGTCCCCGCGATAGGGGCGACGTCGACCTCCGCCCGCGCGGTCGCTCTGCCTGCGCCCGCCCACCATCGCACCTGGCGTTCGCTAGCCCGCACGCAAGCCAAGGCCCCGCAACGCGTTTCCTCAGCACACTGCCTCCACTCGTCTTCCACAGCCAGCCATGCAATCCGCCCGCCCTCCGGAACTGGACCTACCACTCTCCATATTTGTTCTAGGGTCTAAACATTCATCTGTTCATACACTAGCTCATTCCGCTTCCCCCACTCCGGCTAGTTCACTTGGCCCCCTCCAGTCACTCGGCCCCTTCCCGTCACTCACACCCCTCCCGTCACTCACACCCCTCCAGTCA